AAAGTGTATAACTTCTTTAGGTTTTGTCCATGAGTGTAAGTTCACTTGCTTTAGTAAATATAACGACCCCAAAGGATTGAGTATGTTAAAGACGAGTATAAAAACTGAACCAAATCAGATGTGTTATCAGAGAATTTCAATTGCAATGAAGAGAAATGCAATTATTTATTCTATGTTGTAAATTTCTTTATTTGCCATATGGAATTGTTTACTGCCCTCCAATAGAGAGAGGGAGGATTCTTATTCTAAATTCTATAGAAAAACCAATCAGATTGCGAATAAAAACGAACACCATATATGCATATAAACCTATTAAGACGTATATATATGCAAATAATACTGAAAACATTGATCGTTCTCAAGAAATTACTCTTTCGATCATGGCAAACAAACCCTTCGTAAACATAACACTATATATAAAAACATTAAACTCTAAATCATTTTTGTCCCACTAAAATTAGAATATATGTTCTTAAAATAATTATTTCGATTTTTTTTTCAATTCAAAATAAAATGATATATTCACATGAAACGGTTATATAAATGTAGTTTAAAACTACCAAAAGTAGTTTTTAAACGCTTTTTGCCAATTTTATCTTGAAACATGATGTTTAAATTCTGCTCTTTTTCAACCTATTTGCGTTAAAATAATAAACGCCTCTATTCGTTCAAAACTCAAGAGATTTTATTCATTAGTAAGTAACTATTGTAATAAGGCATATCGTATTATCATCACCATGTTCTAACACAGAATGATTTCGGATAATCGATTTACTGGAGCAATATTTGATTCCTACCCTTCGCTCAGACTTCTTTAATCCGTATTGAAATACCCTTTCAATGTACAACCTCTAATCTATGTTTAAAAATATTGCCAGGTGGAAAATTAGGGAAGACCAACTTCAGGATGAAACAGTAATTTATTTAAGGTAAGAACAAACTATGAATGATAAACAAAAGATAAGCAAAAGAGGGAAGTTTACAGAGTATAGCAAAATATAAACATAAAAAAATGTCCACTCTGTTAATAAAAATAATAAAATTAATAAATACTTTGTCACAATATTTTCCTACAATGAGTTTCTTTTTATTATTAAATTATTTATTAAAAAGTAACTCGTTGTGGGAATATATTTTTAAACGTTTTTCACAATTGCATCATGAATAGAGATCTATAATCTATGTATTAATACATGGATATTAACATGGAGATTCTGAATTGATATCTAAGGATCAAACTAAGGAAACAGTTGGTTGCGTTCACCATACATTGACGAGCTAGTCTCAACGCTCTGGGGTGGATCACCTCTCCCGTCAAAATAAGACCTTAAAACTTAGACGCCATCTATTTGGCCCAGCCACTTTGCTAGCTAAACATCTCTTTGGCAGATTGTGAAGATTCCATTTAATTCCTTGTGGATCTCATGGGATAGAGCCCGCCTTATACACTAAAGAGGGCCATCAGCCTGAAACCATGGTATCAAGGTGGACGCTTCTCAGTTTGCCAAAGCTGGTGTTGTGGCTTTGTTACCGACCCGAGGCCGTTAGTTTGTGACGATAGTCAATAGATAGGGTCTGGTTTTGACGTCTATTTTGACAGGAGAGACGACTTTTATATATATATATTATTGGGTGTGTTCTGAATGCAGTATTTTCAATGGTTTAATGTATAGTTATTTGTAAATGTGTATAGTAACATTTAGTAATTTGTTTGTGTAATCTACGGATATATACGTTCCAGAAGTCTGGTTTATTTCCATGTTACTACTAGTGTTTGTGGGTATTATTAATTCACATATGTAATGTGGATAAATTTGCATAATTACATCTCGAAATTCTCACTCACCTGACCTGTGAAGACAGGAGGAGAACTTCGCTTGAGGAATGTAAACACATCTGCGTTACACATCATTAGATTTTTTTTATATATTTCATATACATACACACACATTCGTGGACAAAATTTAAGGAAGTTGTACCTTTCACCATGTATATCAGGAATCAGACAATAACTCTGAAAGATACTCATGGACAAAACTTAAGGAAGTTGTACCTTTCACCATGTATATCAGGAATCGGACAATAACTATGAAAGATACACTCATGGACAAAATTTAAGGAAGTTGTACCTTTCACCATGTATATCAGGAATCAGACAATAACTCTGAAAGATACACTCATGGACAAAACTTAAAGAAGTTGTACCTTTTATCATGTATATCGGTATTGAGACAATAACTCTGAAAGATATTACAGTGACCTTTATTGAAGATACACGAGATAAACAAGTGAACAAAATTACCTCTGTATCCTTTAAAAAAAAAAAAACAGATGACGGGGGACATCAAATACGTTCCACTTTCTTAAGTTTTATCCATTATTATATATAAAAAAGCATCGATTTTTTTAGATGGTATGTGTAGGGAGGAATAGAGGCAAAAGACATGATGAGAGTTACGTGGGGCAATCGCCGCCCATCTTACCCGCCATTCTTTTCGAAGGACACGTCGCCGGACACTCGAAGCAGAGAGAGAGAAAGATCAAAGCACATTTCCTCTTTGTTGTTCTTTATATATCGACTGGATTCCTTTTAGTCATAGTTTACATCGTAACGATGGTGAAATCATTTCGAGGAGGATACCATGGCGTTGAATCCTCTTAGAATTCGAATCTAAAAAACTGAATTGTCTTAATATAAGAAATGAGAGGTCTTTCACTATTGGTAACAGTATTTCTATCATCATTGCTTATAGAAGCGTTACGTCTATCTACTTCTTCGGATTTTTATCCTCATCAAAGTACTGTAATCAACTCTGATCTAGTTAGGATTTAACGAGAAGTTTCGTATTAAGAGAGTTTCGTTTAACGTGACAAGCTTAGACTCACAGGGCATTCGAGCAAACTCCGTTCTTTAATATCTATACACTTCTCATCCTTTGTTTATTTCCAACGTTTTGGTGACCCACCCCCACCATTGTGTTAAAAAAAACAATCCTATAAAAGTAGGAAATAAATAAAAAGAAAGTTTTTGAAGTGAGTAGTTAATATTATATATACATTCATAGACAAAACTTAAGGAAGTTGTACCTTTTAGCATGTATATCGGGATTCAGACAATAACTCTGAAAGATACACTCATGGACAAAACTTAAGGAAGCTGTACCTTTTAGCATGTATATTGAGATTGAGACAATAACTCTGAAAGATACACTCATGGACAAAACTTAAGGAAGTTGTATTTTTAACATGTATATTGGGATTCAGACAATAACTTTGAAAGATATTACAGTGACTTTTACTGAAAACACGAGATAAACAAGTGTAAACAGCTTCTGTCTCCTTCAAAAAGACAGGCGACGGGCGACCTCAGACTTTCCACTTCCTTAAGTTTTGTCCATGAGTGTAAATCCGAACTTCTATAATGTGTTTTTATATAAATATGTATATATGTCTGTATCCATCTATCTATGTATGTATATATGTAAAAAGGGCTATCATTTACATATGTCCTTACATCTGTTGAAAAGATTCTCGCTTTTCTCGAGAGAAACCCTTCATCCTGAAGCTCTTCGTTATCTTTTTTTTTATGTGGAAGTAATTTAATTTGCCAGGAGCAAGCCTTGATCTACATTAGATCTTACAGGAGCGGAAAATATAGAGAAGTCTGACAAGTAGATTATCTATATGTATTAAATATTTCCCTACATTTTATCTATACGTAATTTATTCCTTTTTATTAAAATATACTATCCTTTATTTGATCTTAATTTTTCTTTCTGTAGCAATTTATAGAAAGAATCAATAAAAATGTATCTATATATGCATTAAATAATAGATTTTAAAAAATCGATTATATAAATTGATTCTTATACTTTTTTATTAAAAAAAAACTATGTCAAATTAATAACATTGAAAATTTTCTTCCCTGGCCTGGGGAATCTAACCTTTATTAAACAAACTTGGTGGCTTGCAGCACTTTGGTACTTTGCTACAGTGCATTGTGGTTTGTCTGCTTGCTACATCCATTTTTTGAGCTTGGAAATCATATATTTTAGTTAGTAGCTTGTAAAACCATTTTCTCTCTCTTTTAGAACATCGAGGGAAAAAATGGCCATCCTTCATGTACAAAATGGGTATCGCAAACATAAATCTGCATATTGGAGAGACAATGTCTTCTTCTTCTTTCTTATCTCCACACTGGGTGAAGTATAATGCAGCTGCCTTTGTCATCAAGACTGGGAGCACCACTCAGTGGCAGGCTGACTTAGCTCCAAAAAAATGGCCACCTCTGACATGAGGAAAAGACGCCATGTGCAGCAACTCCTAACATGGAGTTTCAAATGCTGCTCATCCTGTATCCCTGGATTAGGAGCCCTTACAGGGTACTATCAGCTGGGCCAGCTGAGCCCAGGTTTTTTAGCGAGCTTGTTACTGCTCCCCCTCCTCCTTTTTCATCCGGGCTTGGGACCGGCAAAGGCGGAGACAATGTAATTACGCAAACTATCAATTTAACAAGAATTGTTTTTTTCCCATGGTTTTAAGTCTGGAGTTCTAATTTCGGGAGGCTCTAAATACGATTTATCATTATTCAGTAGCGAGTGTGACAAACACGACCATTCATCAGTCCGCCGCCATTAATCCGTCGCTAATCCAGGACACAGGTGGTTGCCAAGCAACCAGGATTAACCACACCACCGCCTGCTGAGAAAAAAAAAAGAGTCCATCAGGTGAAGGATGAGTGTCTGTCCCTCACATCAATAGGCAGGGAGTCCGAAGTCCGATTTTATTCCTAACTGTAACAGCAAGACTTTGCATATCTCCGAGATATTTAGGGAAAACTATATTTTTTTAAAACGACATTTGAAAATATTCCGCATGTGTTTCTTTTGAACTAAAAATAGAAATTTATTTTAAGGGGAAATAATGATTATTTCTAACCTTAGGGATGAAGTATGAAAGGATGAATTGTGAAGAGTAATGATAAACGGAAAAATAAAAGTGTCCAAAGATGGGAATCGAACCCACAGTGTTCCGCTTACCGGGCAGATGCCATGTCCACTAACTAAGCTACTCTGGACATATGTTCATACTTCATCCCTAAGGTTAGAAATAATCGTTATTTCTCCTTAAAATAAATTTCTATTTTTCATTTAGAAGAAACACATGCGGGATATTTTCAAATGTCGTTCTACAATCATAGGCCTCATTATATTGTATAAAAATCACTTTATATTTTTAAGTTCAGAGAAAAACATAGTCACAACAACCAATGATTTATTCAACTACCGACATTTCAGTGAATTCCTGCCATTCTCTTCAGGGAAATGGTTGAATCCTAGTTCTACTTACATACATACACCATTTTATAAACATACATGTAAATAGATGATCTTCGGAAAAAAAAATTTAATTTCAACATGTTCAATAACATTTTTTATTCAAATGCAAAAAGACCATTTCCAGGAGTGTATCCATGTTTTAGATGATCTCTTGTGTAAAGTTTTTTTATTATGTTGTAGATTTTACTGTTTAAAATGAATGTATTTGATTCAAGAGAAAGAAGCCCTTTTATAAATCTTTACACCCTAATTCATCTCCTACGTATTTTTCAGCTGAATGTGGTCTAATACGCGTTCTCACTATATGCCCTCATAGACAAAACTTATGGAAGTCATCTTTTTTTTTTAAGGAGACAGAGGCAATTTTGTTCACACTTGTTTATCTCGTGTGTCTTCAATAAAGGTCACTGTGTATCAAATATATTTCAGAGTTATTATCTGAATCCCGATATACATGCTAAAAGGTACAACTTCCTTAAGTTTTGTCTATGAGTGTATCTGCTTCTCTTGTTTTTATTAAGTGTGTTTTTTTTTTTATATAAAAAAAAACGATTTTACTACCAAAAACAACCAATTCTTTTTTACAATCAAATATTAAGCCTAATACATCTACGCACAAAGAGCTCTACTTCTGGTGTCAGTCAAACGCCCTTTGCACAACTCAACAGCATTCCTGTGTACATTAATATTTATAGTGTTTGTTTTTCAATCTGTTTTGCGCATATTCACGGGGAAAATGTTTCCGTTATTACTGTGCTAATTACTATTTGGGGCTATGATCAATTCTGGAACATTCTGAATGCACCAAAAAAATGGCGCCTAAATGGTATCTCGTTGAATTTCTAGGAGAGAAAAAGAGAGAACTGTAATAACACTCTCCTATTCATTATAAAACTTTTTCTTTTTTTTCTATATTAGCAGCCTTGAGATAGACGACTGAAAATGGGACGGTATGTTTCACCAAAGTTAAAAGACTGGAACAAAAGGCTTGCCACACCATCTTGGGCGCGTTATTAGAAATGATGGATACAGCGGTCGTTACGCCGTGTACCACGCCGCCTTGAGGTTTTAAGAGCTTCTCATTTGCTTCAGGTCTGCAGCCATTTGTCCCGCTAATCGCCCCTACACCGCAACCCATAATGGACGAACGCCGGCCGGCTCGCCTTTAATCAACCCACGCACCGGTTATGGGATAATTTAGGAGCCGATCCGACCTTATTAGCACCAAGAACGACGCCCACCACTACCTGCTCGATGATTGGCTGACCCCAGCCACCGAATTAATGACGTTTGTCACCACATATTACTCTTTGCGGTGTGTCGCAAGGTTATAAATTTCCGGGAGTTAGTGTGGTTAGCAAAAAATCGATGGCGTGGTCACCGTGTTGCTCTACGATGGCTGTCATCCCTTGTAACCGACGTGTTGCTGTGTGTCCCCAGACCGAAAGCTCTTTGTGGGCATGCTCAGCAAGCAGCAAACCGAAGAGGAAGTGCGTCAGCTCTTCCAGCCTTACGGCACCATTGAGGAGTGTACCGTCCTGCGAGGACCCGATGGTCAAAGCAAAGGTGGGTTATCTTAGTAGTCTACGTGTATCCCTCTATCCTTCTATGTCTATCTAGTTATCTATCTCTTTCTCACTCTGTTATCATATGTGTGTATGATGGATTTGGTGAGTGTTGAGTTGAGCAGTAATGGAGTGTATTGATCTACCAGGACCTTGAAAGGTAGAAAGAATATCATGGTGACTATATACGTCATCTCACGGCCCTGAATGACAGTGGCGCCTTGCCAAACCTCTTGTCCAACTCAAACTATGTGGTACCATTACCCAAGAGAATATCCTCTTGTTTATCTCATTTGGACGCGGGTGTAGTCCCCATAAGTCCGAAGAACCTGTCAGAAACTGAACTCTTAAATAGAATGCCTAGCCTAAATGTATCTCTGTCGCCATGATCGTTTAAAAAAAATTCATATATTCAACCAAATAGGATGGTAATTTAGAATACAATGTTGGGAATATTTTATGGTTCAGACGATAAAACAATAAATAATAAGTTTACTTACAGCTGAAATGGTTTTAAAGAATTAGGTGATTTTTACCTTTTAAGAAAGTATTTTAAATTTATTATTTTCAAAGATAGATAGGAAAAAAACATTTAAACAATTACACTTACAAATTATATAAACAAAAATATCACTCGTTCTTTCATCTTTTTATATATTACAGTCAGCCTAGAAGTATTTTAAGATATTGATTTATTATTTTAAAAACATTTTCCTTCTTTTTTTCCAACCTACAAGACCTATAATATAAGGACATCGATTCTGTGAGAGAATTCCACGTCCTGAGATCAAACTGCTTTATAACTACTGTAGGAGCTCTCTGGTTAAATACCACTTTGTCTATTGCTCTATTAGAATCCTTTACATTTTAAAAGTGGTCTTTGTACGATTGTGAAGGTTATCATATATATATCTAGTCAGAGACCAAACTTAAGGAAGTTATATATCGGGATTCAGATAATAATTCTGAAATATATTTGATACGCAGTGACCTTTTTTGAAGAAACACGAGATAACCAAGTGTGAACAAAATTGCCTCTGTCTTCTTTAATACAGTAGAACTTGGATAATTCGAACTTCTTTAATTCGAAAACCTCTTTAATTCGAATATTTATCTTGGTCCCTAGAATTTCCTATAAATAGAATTTCCTTTTTTAATTCGAATTTTTGGATAATTCGAATTTTTTTATGGTCCCTTGGGGTTCGAATTATCCAAGTTCGACTGTATATATATATATATACATGTGGTATAAAAGGTGGGGAAATAATCACACCACAAGTTGGAAGAGGAACCTAGACAACCAGAGAGAGAGAGAGACGGGACCGGCACAGCCGGGCGGCCGTTCGTGTCGCACACAATCCCCAACTGTCTTAAAAGTCCCGAGGTGTTAACTAACGGGCCCCAGTGGTCACCCCTTGGAATGACGCTGGTGTTTCAAGTGACCGGACTTTACCCTCCCGTCTCTCTGGGATGCCTGTAGATTGGCTTTATTATTCCTGGAAGAGTATATATTATGACATATAAATAAACACGACTGGTGACATCAATGACTTTCCACTTCCTTAAGTTATTTGTCCATGAACATATATATAGTAGAATTTTGATTTTAACATGGTTGCCTCTCCCGTCGACGCCAGCGCTAACCGTTGACCATCTCTGTAATCTAGGAGACTAGGTTTGGTAACATATCCACAACATCGGCGATGGGTGGCAATAAATGGCGACGCATAGTTTTTACGTCTATTTTGACGTCTATATTTAGATCAATTTCTCCGCCACTTTTATATATCTATCCATCTCAAAACTCAGAGATACACTTGGAGAATATAGTATAAGAAAACTTCATTGTGTAGTTCATTTTTATTAAGATTTATATATAATTTTCCCATCCCTGGACACTTTTATTTTTCCGTTTATCATTACTCTTCACAATTCATCCTTTCATACCTCATCCCTAAGGTTAGAAATAATCGTTATTTCTCCCCTTAAAATATTTTTTTATTTTTCGTTCAAAAGAAACACATGCAGGATAATTTTCAAATGTCGTTTTACAAAGTGTGTGTGTGTGTGTTATATAGAATATTATAATTAATGGGATTTTTTTAGAATTTGTTGTTTTACAGACTCTTATAAATGGTGCTGTCCGTCAAGCACAATCACACCGACAATTAAAGAACACTGTTTTAGATAATACAAATGCCTTCTGAAGATAGGATTAAGATATTAGCCAAGAGTTCGCGGTAGAAACATGTTTAAATATATACAGTAGGACCTCTCTATAAAGGCCAGTACCAAAGAATCCTTTAGAGAGAGGTATCATCTTGTAAAGAAGAACAACTAATTAGGAAAAATAGTAATTATGTGTGCTGAAAAGTGTTCTATGTAGAAAGGTGTTCACTAGCGAGTGTTCTCTCATGGAAGTTCTACTGTAATACCATTAGCTTTTCATAAATTCTGGAAAACAGCACAGACAATAGGCGTAATACAGATGATGAATCCAACTTGAAGAAAGGTCGATATTTAATCTAAACTTTCTGTAAATAAATGTTATGTTTACCCATCTGGGAGAATCTTATATGGGACGAATTATCCTTAATAAAGATATTCTACTGTAATAACTTAATAATTCGTAAACATCATCTTGGTCGAATTCAAGTTCTCTCTCGAGCGCTTTTTTATAGAGGGAATGGGAGGGAGGGGTGATGGTTGTTGCGTCTAAAAATGTCTGCATCGTGAGCCAAAACTCTAGGGGGTGCCGGAACACAACAAAAAAAGAGAAGGAGGAAATAGGGAGCCACCAAGAAAGAAAGGAAAAGTTTTGCAAGAAAGCATCAGTCAGTAATCGAGTGATAATAACATGTAAGTCTTGAACCACCCAGTTTTTTGTTCGTTCGTTCGTTCGAAGCTTCTTCTTCTCTTGGCAGAGGGAGTCTGTCCCGCCGCGGGTGGTTGGCCGAGATCCAACGTGGACTCTTGGAAACAAAATAACCCGATCGATATACTTGTAGCCGGCGGACTCTCGAGTCCATCTTCCGCTCCACGGACGTTTTAGAGAATACAAATGCCTTCTGAAGAGAGGATTTAAGATATTAACCAAGAGTTCGCGGTAGAAACATGTTTAAACATATACAGTAGAACCTCTCTATAAAGGTCAGTACAAAAGAATCCTTTAT